TTTTCATTGTTATAAATTTCATAAAAAATTATATAACACAAATATCAAAGTGGGACGGAGGAAGTATTAGAAAACATTGTCTAGTGAGTTATATATATTATAATGCATAGCAATACCAGAATAAGTTTTTCATAAAATAGATGTAGTCATGTAACTGTGTCAAAACAACAATAGACATGATATATATATATATATATATATATATATATATATATATATATATATATATATATATATATATATATATATATATATATATATAATGAAGATCAAATAAGAAGGAAATTTTTGTAGAAGGTAAGAAATTTTTTTTTTCTACATATTTTTTTTCACGAACAAACAAAATAAATCATTAGATGATTCATTTGTAAAATGATTCACAAGAAAAAATTCTCAAAAAAACATCTCGATGATTCATTTATATAATGATTTTGTTGTTATTCACTAAAATTGTCATAAAAGTGAATTTTTTCTTAATTTACTTAAAAATGAAACATAAAAATGTTTTTTTGAGAAATTTTTTCTTGTGAATCATTTTACAAATGAATCATCTAGTGATTCATTTTTTTTTGTTCGTGAAAAAACTATGTAGAAAAAAAAACTTTTTACCTTCCTACCAAAAAAAATTTCTTACCGGATATATATATATATATATATATATATATATATATATATATATATTTAAACAAGGAACAAATGAACCAATCGTAAAAGTTGAAATTTAAAACGATTAACAGCCAAGGGAATGAATGTACACTTGTACATTAGATTCACATGTACCGGATTATAACATAAAACCTTCATCTTTACCAAAAAACCTACCTCTTTTTTTCGTTAAAATTTTTTAAACCACGTTTTTTATCGAAAAAAAAAATGAATATACCGTTGTTCACGATCTTTCGTCTTCTTTTAATAGAGATCTATGTTGATATATAAAAAAAACTTTAAAAAAAAACCCACTTTGTTTTGTTGTTTTTTTTTTCAAGATTTAAGTATATTTTTATCCAATAAAAACTAATTATATCAAAAATCTCAAGTTTTTGTCCTCAATTAATAAATTGCATCATCGATTAACACCCCCACCACACCTTCCCATTAGTTCAGATTCACATTGTGAATATAAGCTGTAAATACTTCAATTTTAACATTTATAATGTGAATCTGACTTACTATTCAAACTTTTTGATCATTTACAAATTAAGTGAAATTTGTATATGAATCGAAATATATTTCTATATAGTTTTATAATATTTTAACGTTTTGATTACATGTAAATTAGTTTTGTAAAAACAACAAATAAATTTATTCACATTGTGAATCTGAACTGTATATAGTTTAGTTTTTAAATTTGACAATGTGAATCTGACTTACTATTATTTACATTGTGAATCTGCTCAGATTCACATTGTGATATGAGCAGATTCACAATTCGAGTCTGTACTGAATTTTTGTTTTTTTACATCAATATTAATATATTTTTAAAAAGTACCAACAAATATGAATTTTGATATACTTATTAAATTTTTTCGATAAAAAAAGTTCGTAACTTTTCAAAAAACAAAGAAATGAAGTGGATTTTTTTTTTGTTGTGAAAAAAATCATTTTTTGTATATCAATATAGATCTGTATTGCAAGAGGACGAAAAATCATAAATAATGGTATACTCGGTTTTTTTTCGAAAAAAAAACATAACTTAAAAAAATTAAACGACCGCACATTATAAAAGTGTACAACTCTTCACCTTGTCGTTGATTAAATTCTAACGTTTTAGATTGGTTCCTTGGATCGTTGAGTAATAAAGGGGATATTCAAATGAGAACAATTATGAAATCGAGAACGCGAGAACAAATATGGGCCACATATATTTTTTTTACCGCAAAACGCTCACGCATAACTTAATATTCATATGTGAATACAAATGTAAGTATATTCTCACATGTTACAAATCTGCCGCTTAAGCACTTCAACGTACCGAGACAGATGACGGAACATATAATATTCATATATGATAAAAAGTTATGAATTTCTGTATTTTTAGGTTTTATTTGTTTATTTATTTATTATTATTTTTTTGATAAAAAATAAGTTCTAAAAGTTGAAAAAAAATTGGTTCCTTGATTAAATATGGTTCTCTATTGAACCTCACTCTCTCTCTCTCTCTCTCTCTCTCTCTCTCTATATATATATATATATATATATATATATATATATATATATATATATATATATATATATATATATATCAAATTTGAAAATTTTTGAAAATTCACAATGTAAATCCGAAAAATATTTTTCACATTCACAATGTTAATATATGAATTTAGATAGTTTTAGATTTTTTTTTTCTGATAAAGAATAAGCTATAGAAATTGAAAAAAATATTTTGGTTCCTTGAACAATCCATAATTATGGTTTTCTATTGAACTTTTCCTTATTTATATATATATATATATATATATATATATATATATATATATATATATATATATATATATATATATATATATATATATAAATCGTCATTATTGATATTTTCATGAAATGTTAATGTTAATACGTTAATGTTTAAGAGTATAGAATGGCACCATAAGGGAACGGTATGATTATTTGATTTGCACCTATTTTCGTTTTAGCCCTTCTTATTCCTTTCTTTTTTCAATTCTCGCCCTTTTATATATATATATATATATATATATATATATATATATATATATATATATATATATATATATATATATAAATCGTCATTATTGATATTTTCATGAAATGTTAATATATATATATTCTATACTCTTAAACATTAACATATTAACATTTCATGAAAATATCAATAATAACGATTTACCTTTACACATACACATGAAGACGTTTCATTACTCCATTGTAACTTGTAAGGATGAGAGTGGATCTAAACCCGGACTAAAAAATTCGGGAACCGGTTAACGAGATTTTGTAGCATTGGAAACCAGATCGGTATATAGGAACCGGTTCCGATTCGGTTCCAGATAAAGTGTGTTCAAAATCGGAAAACCCATAAACATTAGAGTGGGTTGGGTGGAACCGGGTAAAGTGGTTCTAGAACGGAAAACCCGAAGAATCCAGAATTTTTCGGTAATTGCTTAGTGATTTGAACTTTGAAAATTTTCAACTTTGATATTCCAACTTCGGAGGACTATAAGTCATTGAGTATCAAATGAAAAATAAAAAAATTATAGTCTAAACTTATATACAAACTTTAAATTATACGTTGTAAAAAACCTCATCATAATCCGACTTCAAACGAATTAGATATGCATTTTTAAAATTTTACAAAGTATAAAAATAAAGCTGAAAAATAGAAAATTCACAACTTTGTTATCCCGACTTTAGGGGACTGTAAATCAATGATTATGAAACCAAAAATGATAAAATTATAGTCTAACATCATGTACAAACTCTAAAATATACGTTTCAAAAAATTTCAGTGATAATCTGATTTCAAGCGAATTAGATATTCATTTTTAAAATTTCACAAAATATAAAAATAATGCTGAAATCAGAAAATTCACAGCTTTGATAAAATTTTAGTTTAAAATCATGTAAAAACTCTAGACTACACTTTGGAAAAAAAAAAACCACATGTTATTCCGAATTCATATAATTTAGATATGCATGTTTTAAAACATTGACATAATACAAAATAATTTGACAAACATAAAATATCCAGTTTTGATATCCTAACTTTAAATGATTGTAAGTTAATGAATATTAACTCAAAAATAACAAAATTATAGTCTAAAATCACATACAAATATAAACTAAACTATGAGAAAAACCTCATCTGAATCCGATTTTAAACGAATAAGATATACATGTTTTAAACTTTTCATAGAAACCAGTTCCGGCCCCTAAAATCGGTTTCGGTTCCTAACACGGTTCCGGTTCTTAAACCCAGTTTACCTGGACCCGAAGGACCCAAAACTCGGATTACCCGAAACCCGGATAAAGTCATTCTTTAAACACGGGACCCGGACCGGTTCTATATATTCCGATTGTAACGGTTCCGGTTCTGTTTCGATTTCGATTCCGATCTGGTGTTCCGGTTCTAAATCTCATCCCTACTCCATTATATCCAAAATTTTGGGTTGTTACATAAAAGTTAAAAAAAAAGTTGCTTTTATTGCATATGAAAGCATCCAATAACATTTATATATAAATAAAACTGTAGTCATGTATAACTATTTCAAAACAAAGAAATGAGATACATACACATATATTAATTTGAGGGTGAGAATTGAAAAAAGAAAGGAAGAAGAAGGGTTAAAACTAAAATCAGGTACAAATCAAATAATCATACCGTTCCATTATTCCTGAACCAAAATCAGTAGAGAAACCAAGCGGAAGGAAGCGTAAAACGATCCTATGACGATCGTTGACTGAAAACCATAGATGATAATGCTCTTGACAGCTTTTCAAAATAAATTTGTTTTTGCTATCGATTTTGGATGAAATTGCAAGGAAAATTGTATTTACTATTAAGATATACATGTAAAATCGCCATTAGAGAAGAATTCCAAAATTGAAATGATTATAAAAGTTTTGAGATAGAGAATCAATGGCGGAAACAGTGCGATGATGAAGAAATCCACTGCTAATCGTTATCAATATGCTAAATGCTATCAATCTGAAAAGAATAACATTAAATAGGTAGAGTTAATCGTATTTACAGCAACTGGAATTCTTCTAAATGCATATAATTGACTAATTGAGTCAATGCACTCGTATTTCGAACTAGAAATCGAGTGTAATCTACTAATCTCATAAACATTAACCGAAAAATCAGTTAAATCTGTCTAAATGAGTTATATAATTGATTACGTAATTCAAATATCCAAAATATTCGCCACAAAATCAAATTAGTTTCATAACGAATCCTTACTAATTACTATTACGAACATCAAAATCTAATATTTCCATCGAATTGAAACAACAATTTCTATTCAATCATCTTCATGTGGCATCTAATTAATCTTGGATCCCATAAACCATTGTTGTTGAAAGTAAGTGGAAGTCTCCCTGGGAATATGACCAAGCGACCTCATCAACGCACCACCATAACCAAACCCAGCTTTACGTTCCATTTGTCTGTCAAACTCCATTGATGCCGGAAATGGCGAGTAGCTCAAGCAATCTTTGAATTCTTTAATAACCAACTCAAGCTCCTTCAACGAGTTCTTACTCAGCCAATCAAAGAGTTTTTTGAATCTTGGGACTAAAAACAATCGAGCCATGATTCTATCTCTAACACGAGGATCACGTTCGATTACACGCAGCGCTTTGTAAACGTCTCCAACTACTTGTACATGAACGTATGCTTCTCTTTTTATTTCCACGAATTCGTGTATTATGTTGTCACCTTCCAGTTTCATGATTTGTCCATCACCACGTTTCAGAAATAGCAAGTCTGCCATGATATCTCCTGCAATATTCAAGTTTTGAACAATGTGTAATTAATAACAAGCACTCGAACATGAGATAAAATCAAGAACCCTAAAGATTTGATCATGGTTGTGTGATTTAGAACACAAGAAGATACACAGAAACAAATACGCAGAACTGGGTTTTTCAACAAGAATTGATCATGAAATTTGAAATGAACTCTCTCAAAAGTGAGATATCTTGGAGTGAATCTTTAGGGTTTTTGAATCTTTTGAATTCTCACAAACCCTAAAGATTGGAGCATGCATGCATGATGTCTAGGGTTTCTTTGAAGATTTTGGATGAGGAAGAACATCAATTGATCAAAAACCCTAAAAGATTTGATCACGTGGGTTCAAGTTTTCTTCAGATGTTGTAAAGTTGTGTGGTTTAGAGCTCAAGAACACGACCATGAACAGAAAAAATTGAGTTGATTATCTTTTACTGAATATTTTGAATTAATTCTCAAAAACCCTGAATATTCTTTCATGCATATTGCATTCAGAACTCAGACATTGTTTGATGAATCATGTACATGGTTGAGTTTAAAGAACACATGCATTGTCGTCTTTCAGATTCAATCAAAAAATTATTGAATAAGATTTAACGAGAGGTTCTTAGAATTTGTGAAAACCCACAATGATTTTTATATAAAATATGTTATCCAATTCTTAGAATTCAAGAACTGATAGAATTGTCATATGAATTTTGAAATGAATAACATTACCTGGGAAAAACAATCTTCTAGATGAAGAGAGAACTGAAATTGAAGTTGATCTTGAGTGAAATATAGATTGGTTATCGCTGGTTCAAACAAATAAATTTTGGATTCGAGAATTGTAATGATCAAGTACTGTTTATATATATAGGAAGGAAATGGAGACTTGGAGCTTCCTTCTCATATTTTGAATTGTTTTCCGTACGTTTTCTTTAATTGTAAAATTTGTACTTTATAAAAAACCTTTTATTAATGTATTTCCTTTCGAGCAATTGGCTTGAAGACATTTTAGTTGTGTTTATTTGCAATATAGACCATAAGTCGTTCTAGTTATTTATGATCTCTAACAAAGCATAATGCAACGAGATATATAAAATTACCAGCATTTATCTTAAAAAGGAAGAAAAAGTATATATAAAAAATATTTTATAAACTTTTATTGCAAACAACCAAAACACAATTGAATCCACAATACGTAGATTAAAACATAATTTTGATTTATTTTTGGAACAATTATGATTTTTATTAAAAACAACTACCAATTAAGAGCCTAGAAAATAAACAAACAAGAACCCCAAGATCATTTGATATATTTTTTTTCCTTTTTCCAAAATGTCTTTTAAGCTCCAAGCTACATGCCAAATAGATTGGATAGAAAAAAAAAAAAAATCAAAATACCCTCCTATTTTTTTCTCCTGTCATTATTTTACAAGACACAACAAACACTAAAATCTAATATATATATATATATATATATATATATATATATATATATATATATATATATATATATATATATATATATTTCCATTTTTATATTTTTACGAGTATATATATACTCCCATTTGTATATTTTTACCTCGTCTAATCTCTTTACTATAAAATTTTTCATAGCTGATCAACCTTTTTTATTCTATGCTACTAACAAAGGTTGTAGAACTCGTTACTCGGTACTTGTTCGGCCAACTACTGAGTAGCGAGTACTCGGATTCGGTAATTCATGTAGAAATTTTTTTAGGGAAATTATATATGCCAAAATCATAAGTTAAAATCATAATTTAATTAAAATATATAACAAAATTAGATACATGTGAATACATAAAACTGAAAAACACATAATGGTTTCACTTCATGAATAATTACTAAAACATTTAGGATATATATGTAATAATAATCACATATGTGTGTTTGAATAATAAATCATTAAGTATATTATACATATTGATCACTGAGTTAAACGGGTTTTAAACACTGCTCAGTCTAGTAGTAGACCGGCTAGGAAGTACTCGTGATTCTGTAATTCGCCTTGGTAGGGGGCGAGTAGCGAGTACTCGGAGGAGTAATCGACCAACTTGACGAGTTTTACAACATTGCTACTAACCATCTTTTTATGTCATCCCCCGTATCTACAACCATATACTACCAAAAATAAAAATAAAAATAAATCACCATTATTTATATCTTTCCTCGTATCTTTAATCATATACTACTAAAAATAAAAATAAATAGAATCTTTTGTCTCATGTGCATAGAATACTCACAACTTCAGTAATTGAAGCACCATTTCTAAAAAACTATATCACAAATCATTAAAATTAAGACAAATTTGCAAGAATAGTCCTTGTAATTAGCTGAAAATTATCACTTTGATCCAAAAATGTTTGTATTAGAACCAACGGTTCAAACTTTTCATTTTGTTATGAGTTTGGTCCAACTTGTTTTGAACTTTTTACATTGACAATTATGCCCTTAACTTTTTCATTTTCAGTTTTTTTTATTTAAATATGTTATATCCATAAAATTTCATAAAATTTAAACTTTTCAAAACAACATTTTTTCTATAGAAGTGTTTATCAAAACCGTTGTTCCCAAACCATTATTTAAAAATCAGAATCTCTTTCAACATAATTTTCAAAACGTTCACATTATCATAATTACCCAGAAATCATAAGTCCAAAACACCATAATGTATAAGGTCACGTCTTCACATTGCCACGATCCACTAAAGTACCTAAAACCATAAACCAAAACTGTAAGCCTGAAGTTTAGCGAGTTCCCCCAAAGTACCAACAACCAACCAAATCACATATACAAATAACATCATGCATAAATGAGCCTTCAGCTTGACTTGACCGCCTCGTAGGGCCTTCAACCTACACTACAAAAAATATGTCATTTAGTGACACACAAAAAGTGCCACTAAAAGCCCAAAAAAATGCCACTAAAGGTTTCTCAATGAATCAGCGGCACACTTAATAAATGTCACTAGAAACGCTCCCACTAAAATCTTTTAGTGACACTTTTTCTTTTTGTTGTTGCAGTTTTTAGGTTTTCATTGACACTTTTTTATTTGTCACAGTAAAACAAATTTCTTTTGTGGCATATATTTTGTGTCACTAAATCTGATTTGATTTAATAGTTTATGTTACTTTTAGTTATACATTTAAGATTTTAGTGATACTTTTTTATTTACCACAACAAAAAATATTGGCATTTTTTTATGTGTCACAGCAGAAGAAATTTTTTGTGGCATATATTTTGTGCCATTAAAAACTTATGTGATTTAAAAAATTTATGCTACTTTTAGTTACATATTTTAAGATTTTAGTGACAATTTTATTTACCACAATACAATTTCATCTATAATATAAAATAAAATGAATAATTAAATTGTAGCACATTGAAAATAATCAAAATTTCATTGTTTTTCATCAATATTTTTTTAACTTTTTGAATCTAATATCTAGGTAAATATCAAATATGTCTAAGTACATGCTAAACATAAAGTAATGAAAAAAAGTTAAAACATGCATATAAAAATAAAATAAAAAAATAAAAACAAAAACATGATAGGTTGAATAAATTGTGTTATCTCATACTCTAGAATTAATGCTAGCAATTCCTTATCAAAAAACAAACAAAGATAATCAACACATACTCTAGAATCCAATGAAATAAAGCTTAGTTTAGAAAATAAATAATATCACGCTCAACACAAATAAACTGTATTTATAAGAATAAAGGAAAGATAAAAGCTCATAAAAACTATATTTATAAGAACAAAGGAAAGAAAAAAGCTCATGAAAATGATTACCATCGTTATGATGACTTTCAGAAGATGCCCTCTGGTTAACTGAATTAGAGTTGTGTGGACCTGTAGAAGTGTTGCTTGGCATCTGAAACAAATTAATGAAAACATATAAAATTAATGTCCAACTCTCGATACCTTCTACTAATCTTGTACAAATGTACAAGAAGAATGAGTTTAAGAAGATGCAAATGTACACCAAGAAGATTATTCAGAAGGGAAAAAGTGGTCATTCTTGAGTCCAATTGGAAATATGATAATGGACTAATTTTAATGAATGTTTTTTTTTGTTCATAGGGTAATTGAAAAGGAACAATGCAATTATAGATGACATATGTACCTGTATGTTCATATTGCTAAGAATTCCAAACAAGTTTGCATTTGGGATATGTTCTTGAATGATATTTGTCATAACGTTCACCACAGTTTTTAGTTGTTCGACACTCGGATCATTAGAACAAGAAACAACCTTCTCTTTTACGGTAGGCATCCTTCCAACACATCTGATATACCTCTTTTTTCAGGACCTTTAACTTTAGAATAGTCATCATTTGAAAAATCATCTACATATCCTAGGGTACTTGATCCTTGGGTATTTGAGGAATCGCTTGCAATGGCTTGTAGGGAAGTCTGCATACTAGTAACATACAAAAAACAAGACAAGTGTTTCTCACCCACTGTTTTTGTCCCACTTTCAAATTAATAGCAACATACTTTGAAAGTGGTTGCTATACTATCATAGTATAGCAACCTACTTTAAAAGTATGTATCTAATACTTTGAAAGTGGGACAAATAGCAAGGCTTAAAACGAAACAAAGAGTATATAACTGATATGATTAAAAACATGTATATATAATGTCTAGGGAAATCATTACCATAACATGAGCGACTTTTTCATTCACGATATCTCCATTATTACGAGTGCGGATTTTTACATATATTTGTCCCCGTGTTGGGTATACACCATTCTTCAATGCCTATAACAGGATGTAGTTATGTTTGATGAAAAATAAATAATTTTAAAAAAAAGACAATAATATTAGTCAAAATAATAAAATATAATAATACCTCTTTGTGAACAAGTCGAGCAAATGATTTTGTCCCATAAACATGGGGCTCTTCCATCTTTGCACGACTCTTTCTCCTCAAATCACACATGCTCTACATAATTATTTTCCATAAATTTACTTTATCTTTTACCCAAAATAGCAATGTACTTTCTAATTTTTAGTGTAAAATTGTTTTAACTAAAAGGTGAAACCAGGGATTCAGTGAATAAAAAGCATGCTAGGCCATTAAGGGTAACTAACTTTTTTTGTTTTATCATTTTCCATAAATTTACATTATCTTTTACCCACAATAGCAATGTACTTTCTATTTTTAGTGTAAAATTGTTTAAACTAAAAGGTGAAACTAGGGATTCAATGAATAAAAAGAATGCTAGGCCATTAAGGGTAACTAATGAGTAATAGGATAAATTCCTTAATTTATGTAAGAAACTAAACATATTACCCGATATTCTGGAGTAAACCAATGAGTAACAAGGTTTTTAAACTGAGTTGGGTTCACCCTGTTATCTTTTTCAGTTTGTTGTGCCACAACTTGATCGATTGTAAGACTTGAATCATATGTACGTGCTTTTAGTGAAACTTTCCAAGTCCTCCATTTTTCCCCATGCTAAAAAGGATCCATTTCTTAATTTCACTTGTTTCAGCTGGATGAACAACAAACTTGGCCTATAAATAAATCTTACATGTAAGTATATATGCACCATAATTTTGGTTAATTGATACGCACCTTAACCATAGAATACATATCTTTTTTCTTTTGTATAGGGATCTTCCTCCAATCATCATAATATATTCCAACATGATTAGCCATCCTCACAAGGGTCCCAAGGTATTGTACGCGTTCATTTCCTTCATCTCCTATCGGTTTTCCGAACCTATTAAATGTCACTACTATTTTTTGGGAGCTACTCATGTTCCATGTCTCGGTCTTTTGAGTATAACCCCTCACCTTCTTTTGAGCACCTAATAAAAAATTAGTAAAGTTCACCAAAATTAGAAATAGAGTGATAATATGATAGTTTTCATCAATTAATTTGTAAATAGACATGTGTTTCCTTTTTATTCAAAATTAAAAGATGTCTTTTTGTTACAACTTGGAAGCCTTTATAATGAGGCGAGAAATTTATTCCAAAGCAAACATCTAACCCTTTATTTGAAAAAAAAGCTTAAAAAACTAGGGAAAGATGAAGAATTGACAAACTTTAAAGAACTATTAATTGAATTTAAGCTTACATATTTTAGATGATGTAAACAAAGAGATAGTTAGATAAAGGAAGTGGGCATTTGATCTAGTGGTAGATAAAGGAAGTGGGCATTTTTCATCAAGAAAATCAAAACATTTGATCTACTAGAAACAGATCTACCTACTCAAAATGGATAGCATATACCACAAAACAGATATGAAAATATCCAATAATAGTATCAATCAACATAGTAAGGGTCGTTTATACAAAAATGTAACTGCTATAAATTGAAAATGTAGATGACAAAAGTAAAACCGAACATGAACTACTTGAAAAAATATATGTAACATATGTCATTGACTTATCTGATTGACCTCCTTCAGTAGAGTTGTGTTCTTCAACAGTAGACTGGCCTCCTTCAGTAGTTTGTGTATGGCCCGATTGATCTCCTTCGGTAGGGATATCAGTTGCATAAAACTCAGAACTTTGATCATATATCTCATTGTCAATAGGGATATCAGTTGAGGTGATGCATATCCTTTTATGCCTACCCATCCTCCTATAACACCACAACAGATAAGTACATGCATACAAATATATACATATAATACATAGATACATGCATATAAATATACACATAAAGATAAAGTGCATCAATTTTTCATTAACTATCATCAAATACTAATATAGTCACTGTTATTTTCTTCATCATCTATGACATCAATGTTTTCATTAGCTATTATCATTTCTGGTGTAACATCTATGCCATCATCACCAACCCTATGCAAGTTAGGTACATCAAATATATCATCATAAGCACCTCCCATGTCAAATACATCTCTAAGCTTTAAATGTCACACAATCTCCCAACCTATATGTTTAGGATCCATGGAGTAGAACACCTTGTCGACTTGTGATGCTAAAACAAAGGGATCATCAATTAAGTTAACACCGGTATGTGTCTTATATGAGAAATTGACCAATGTTACATTGCCATCTTTCTTGCAACCTCTGTTGATGTCAACCCACTCGTATTTGGATAAAACTACTCGTATCATTCCAGAGTAGTTTAATTCAATAATGTCAGTTAATTTTCCATAGTAGTTATTCGCGCCTTCGACTGGCCTTCTATCTCGACTACTGGAATAATTTGCACCTTCTACCATAACAACCACACCACTGTTTTGAGTTCATAGAAGTTCCTTTCATTTTCTGGTGTAACATCTATGCCATCATCACCAACCCTATGCAAGTTAGGTACATCAAATATATCATCATAAGCACCTCCCATGTCAAATACATCTCTAAGCTTTAAATGCCGCACAATCTCCCAACCTATATGTTTAGGATCCATGGAGTAGAACACCTTGTCGACTTGTGATGCTAAAACAAAGGGATCATCAATTAAGTTAACACCGGTATGTGTCTTATATGAGAAATTGACCAATGTTACATTGCCATCTTTCATGCAACCTCTGTTGATGTCAACCCACTCGTATTTGAATAAAACTACTCGTATCATTCCAGAGTAGTTTAATTCAATAATGTCAGTTAATTTTCCATAGTAGTTATTCACGCCTTCGACTGGCCTTCTATCTCGACTACTGGAATAATTTGCACCTTCTACCATAACAACCACACCACTGTTTTGAGTTCATAGAAGTTCCTTTCATTTTCTTGTGTGAAATCGATAACCTTTAACTAGGTATCCTGAGTATTTTTGCACAACTCTAAGTGGACCACATGCAAGCCATTTGATTTCGTCAGTTACTTTTTGATCTCCTTGCTTCTTCCATGCGTGCGACCTATCAACATAATTATATAATTACATCTTGAAAATCAAACTTTGATACATCTAATATTTATTCCAAATTACCCTTCTCTTAAACCAATCACTAAATTGTTGCCAGTGAATCTTGTTGATTTCATAATCACGTATCCACCGAGATCGATTTTGTCCCTTTATTATCCTTTTGTGTTCCCTTCAGATAAAGAACAACAATATGAGGTAAAGGAAGAATAATATCATTAACAATATATGAATTCACAGACTAAATATTGTATATCTTGTTTGAGAAGAATTGTAATTTTAACTTACTTTAATTAATATTTGCCATAAAACTGTCTAAAATAGAAATTAAACATTTTTAACTCATTCCCATTGAATATTGATCTCGCCTTTAACTAATATAAATCCATTATTGATAATAAATGCAAGATGTGATCATTTAATTTGAAATCAAAGGAATATGTGGAGTAACTTGCAAAACAAAGAAAAATACTCTAAAACCTTATATAAACTAGGCGAATGCCCGTGCGTTGCACAGAAACATATATATAGTTGAACTCTATACAAATATATGTTTTTTTTAAAATATAACAATAACGTTGTTGTTAAATTTGATATAATAATTTTCATACTAAATTGATATAATATATTGATTATTTTGAATTATATGATCATATATACATCTATTATAACTTCATAATCTCAATCGTTTGAATAACTTCTACCTGTGAGTTACACATGAATAAAATTAAATATAATTTAAGGTTAAATATTATTTATAGTTGTTTTTATTGTTAACTAATTTTTTAAAATTTATTTGCTTAATGTTCTAATTTCTATCATTATAATTATTTAAAACATCAAACATTATTTTTTGATTTTAAAGGTAACAATACAATCATTTATATAGAGTTATTTTTAACTATTGTTATTATAAGTTATTTTAAGTTAGTTATTTGAAAACTTTTAACGATTATAAAAATATGATTAGAATATATTTTAGTTAAATTGAGATTACAATTGAGTTTTTGCATTTATCACTATAATTTATCACTTTTAACTATTTACAAAATATTTTTTAGTTTTATAAGTGGAACTGAAATTTATATTTAAGTTGATATTGTAATGTTATATTTAAGTTAATAATTTAAGTATTTTGTCCAAACTGTTCAAAAGTTGTAGCTTTAAACTGATAATGGTTTACATATAACAACATATTAAATCTAATAAATTAAGGATAATATGTTAAAAGTTAAAGACACAACTTTATAAGTAAAGTAAATATATTATTTTAAAATTGAAATTTAACTCATTTATTATTACACTTTAGGTTTGATATTTATTTAACCTAATTAACCAACTTATAATCATTATTAGAAAGACACTACAATTTATCATTTTCAACTATTTACAAAAATATTTTTTGGGTTGTTTAAGTTAAACTAAAATTATATTTTAAGTTGGCCCAAAATTGTATCTTTAAAATGATAATGGTTTACATCCAAAAATATATTAAAACTAATAAATTAAGTATAATATGTTATAAGTTAAAAAACATAACTTTATTAGTAGAACTAAATATATTATTTTAATATTGAAAGTTAGTTTATATATGATTACATTCTAGGTTTGATATTTATTTAACCTAATTAATCAAATTATAATTATTATTAAAAAGAAATTGAAAAGCCATGAGAGTTTCAAATAAGTGTGGTGAAAAGAAATATAGATGGGAGTTTCAAATGAATGTGATGCAAGGAAAAATGCTTCATTTATAAGTATATAATGATGAACATATGTAGTTAATAATTTGATTTTAACTATCCGAAAAACCTACACTAGCCAATGCATTTGAATATATATGATGACATAATGGCATAATCTATTCAAGTGTTGAATAAGACTTTAAATGGGATGATTTTTGTAATAGTTGTCATTTTTTTTTGATTTCTATGTGATAGTTTTACTATGTTATTTGTGTTTCATTACATTAATATACATCAATAACCCTAGCTGTTTGGGCAATGATTTTGCAACAAATCGAGCAGTATACAACATCAAATCTACAAACAAATGAAAATTTTAAATACGTTATTTGAGAAGCAAAAATACCTACTATAAGATTGAGGATGCAGCGGCGGCGATCGCAGAAGCAACGACGATCGTGGAAGAAACAACGCACAGGTCGACGACAGCGTGATGGTCTGACGTAGACGAAGAGAGGGTGCGTTCAGATCATCATCAGGAGTGAGATAGTGAGAATGGGTTCTAATATCTTTGGTGTGTGATGCGTTGATAAACCCAAATTAATGTATTTTTCTTGGAAATATTTATTTGGTTGTTGTACGTATTGTTCCAGCTTTGCTTCCTATTGGTCTTTGTTTTATGTTAATATATATATATATATATATATATATATATATATATATATATATATATATATATATATATATATAGGTAGAGGTTCATTTGAGACCATTATTAATTTGTGAGACAAGGGGGCCAATTTTTAGCCTTTGATCATAATTGATCTAATGGTTCAACAATAAAACGTGATTAGTGTTGATTAATTTTGATTAAGGCGCTTAACTAAATTATGAGGGGTAGTTTAGTCACTATTCTATTTTTGATCCCTTAGATTTGATGACAATCTATATATGATGTCTTGTTTCATGGAAGCCTTAGATTGTGAATTACGTTTTTCATATTATCCTAAGATTGAGATCTATTCCGTTTCAATGTTATAAAACATATATCGATTTCAAAAATCAATCACTAATTCGTAACAATTTGTTTAAGATTTGTGCAATTCGATTTAACGGAATTTTGGTTTCATCTGGTGATGAGTTTGGAAGCAATCAAGATGAAGAATTCAACAAATCAATCATAAATTTTGATGTTTTAAATGAAGATTTTAGCAATGGCGCATCAAGATTTCAGAATCAATGATCACTTGAGATCCAATTCAGTAACTTCACGTTCCTTTAGTTAGTATTTGAGGAAGATTTCAGCAATTCATCGTTACTTGAAATTATGTTCAACAATTTTAATCGTGATCACAATTGATTGTCAATTGAGATTGTTTTCAGTAGCATCAGGTTTTAATTTCTTTTCTCTAGACATCGATTACAATCTTTGATTTATTTCATCATCTTTTTGTTGCAATGTTCATTCAAGAGAATTTGAATACATTATTCTCCACAGTCGAGCACATAATACATTAAGAGAATCAAGTGGAAATAACGAATCTTTAAGTCATTTTGCACTCTTTCTATCAAATTAACCAGGTATGTACAAATTGATTATTGTTCTTGAGCTAATTTTCTTCAACTAAACATGCATTCCACCTGTTTGATAAAAGTCCTGAATGAATAAAACGTCTTATATATCACCCCTCATTCCCACGAATAATGTCCTTTTTAAGAATATGAATATACTTCAATATGAGTTGGAATTACTGAAACATAATTCCATGTTGATTACTCTTATTAAATTTACCTTAGTTTTATTAAAATATGTATTTTTCTTCGAATACATATTGTCGGATATGTCTTTTAGCACAATTTTGTTTTAATATGCTCCCGTTACCTTATAGAAAAGGGGTTATACTAAAGAAAAGGTTAGATGCTCTTAAATCAATTATTTTTCTATTCAATCGTCGATATTGAACAAGTCAATTCAATCAAATAAGTTTTTTAGTCAACTAGTATATGTTAAAAATAGGGTATTTTATGATTAGTTTCATAATAATGTATATTATTCTTATTAGATTTATTGGATTATCATCAGTATATGTTAATTTCCTTAAATTAGGGTTCATGTTAATGGCGAAATAAGAGTTATTTTAGAAGAGTAGTTCTTTCAAGTACCTAAGATAGGGTTTATCTTAATAAGATTTGAAGGGTTCATATAATATGATTATGATGTTTTGAATTATAGCTTGTTTCAATTTACTTAGTCAAATATTCTAAATAGAATGTAATTAGTAATATCAAATTCCATTCGATTGCAGTTTTTTATTCCAAAATTTCTAACTTTATACATAATATAGTATTAGATGTAACTGTTAACTATCAATCTAACATTATTTATAAATTAGAATATTATTCTATTATTTTATATTCATAATAACAAACATTGTTATATATCAAAACTAAAAAATATAATTCTAATATGCTAATGTATTTATCTAGAACATTACTCTATTAGAATATTTTACATATAATTTATTTTGATTTCTTGTATTTTATTCTATGTAGTCTTGTAACACTATAAATTGTAAATTCATAATAGTATATAATGATATCTATACATGCATATTATTCTGATTATAATTATTAGATACCATCACTCATATTTCATTACATGGTGTTATTATCTTGCAGTTATTCATCACAATGAAGAAAATCCACATATAATGAGGAATAAAGGTCGTGGAGCCAGAAGATACAAATTATCTTTGAGAAGACTACCATTCAAGGTCAACAAAAGTCAAGATCATACAAAATATGTGGCGTACAAGGTTATGATAGAAGGAAATCTTTAACAATGAACAATATTTTCAAGGAATAGTTTGCACAATGTTCTCTCTATATATATTTTCATATTTTCATACTAGAATATGTTAAACAATGTTGTGTACATCTAATTACATTATGTATTTATCCTTTCGACATCTAATTAGAATTTGACAAAAAAAAATTATGCTCCAAAGTAAGTTTCCTATTTAATTTGACAAATGTGTCCATATATGTTGATCATAAGCATTTTGATCATTATCCTCCATTTCACTATCTTCGGTTTCAACCCTTTCCTCTGTCCCTTTCTTTTGGGTTTCTTCAACTCCAACCCGCGCTTATTGGATTTCTGGCTTATTGGTACTTCAAAAATTAGTACCCGAAAATAAGTCATTGAACTTCTTATCCAGTTCCATGTTCTATTTTTATTTGGAAACATCGATATACAATTAGAAACAGTTTCTTTCATATTCTCTTTTTCTACAAAAACTTTCTTGAAGACCTTTTTAAACATTTCTTCATGTTCCTGAAAAAACAATACGACACTAGAATTATAAGTATAACTTATTAAATGAAATCATAATATTCAATTGAATAATAAGTTATGAAGTACCATACGATAT